GAGGGATAGATTATGCACTGATACAGTGGTTATATCTAAAAATTACCAAATGATAGGATCACCTGGAATCTGTCAACTTTGACATCTCTGCTATGGATGATCAGGAGGAAGGAGGAGTCATGATACCTTCCTTTATCCATCCCTGCTTGACTTATAAGAACTGATTCAGTCTTTGAGGGAGAAGATCTATGAAATGAATATTAGAAACAGTATTATCAACATGATTCTTTATAACAGCAGAATGGTAAGTGACCCATCTGATGAATCCAACTTTACAGACATTAAATTATTGCCCTCTGGCATATACCTTGGCACTTTCTCGTATGGAAGGAACTATCAAATGATACAAGCGTCTTAGCCTGCATCCATGTTGCTCTAGGTTTTTGTAAAATTAAAAAGAAGAGTATATGTCCTCTTCCTTCCCACCCTTATCTTGATTTGTGGTTTTTAGCCTGTCTTGTTATCACACCTTCCATAATAATTTGGAAGCTTGCTCCTCACTTCGTCTTCTCTCAGAGGACATCTGCCTGCCCCATGCTCACCTCTAGGGCACTGGTTTCAGATCTCTTGTAGCAAGTTCAAAAAGAGGTGGTGAGAGCGGCTCAAGGATTGGTCCAGGTGCCTAGCTGTAGGGGATCTGCTCTAACTGTCCAAGTTTCAATGGAAGATGTGATTTGGACAAATTAATGCCTGAGTGTTGTTGAGGTGCCTGCTCAGACCAGCCATTCCCAAGTTCAGGGTTGCTGCTCCATTTTATATTACATTTTGCCCACATAGAGATGATAGTATAACCATTATTAAAACATGCATGGAGACTGTTTATATTGGTATCCATACTTTCACATGCTGCTAGAATAGGTGGGCTCGACTGTGCATCCTTCACAAAGGCTCCAGAAATGATTTCCCCAGCAGCGGAAGCTACCCGTGTGGTTATTGCCTGCACAGGACCCACACCCCGTGGCCAGAGCTGCCTCCTCCATAGGGATGGGCTTCTCCGGGCTTTCACCTTGCAGATGATGCAGCTCCTCTGTAAACAGGAGATTAATTGAACATTCTGAGCTCTTTGAAATGATAATGCTCAGGGAGCATTTGGCATGAATCATCCTTCCCCCCACGCCTGACTTATCTTTTGCCAACTGGAACACTGGAGAAAGGAACCAGCTTTGGGCAGATGACTCATGGAAATTTTTGCAGCTAACCAAAAAGTTTACTGCCTAACGTCATGGTGTTACTGTGAACAGTTTTCTTGAAGAATTGTTCTTTTTCTTTTCTTTTTTCTTTTTTTTTTTTTTTTTGACCAGGTCTCACTGTGTAGTTCAGGCTGGCCTCAAACTCGTGGAAATCTTCCTGCCTTGGCCTCTCAAGCACTGAGGGAGGTACCTACTCTCTTAAAAGTTTTTTCATGAATGGATGTTGGATTTTGTCAACAGTTTTTTCTGGATCTGTTCATACTCATGTGATTTTTATCCTTATATGATAAAATATTTGGGTCGTGGATATACCTTGAATATGTAATGTTAAATCAAATAAATCAGACACACAAACTTAAATATTGTATGGTTTCTCTTATAGGAGAAACCCAAAGTATAAATAAAGAAGAAAACAAAAATAGACAACAGGATATGGGGAGATAGATCTTTTACAAATAGAAAGAAGACCAAGAGATATTGGGGGAGCAAAAAGAAGTTGTGTCATGTATGTGTACAAACTCCCCACAATGAAAGTATTCATTGTGTACTGCAAACATGAACTAATGAAAAAGAAATTTGGCAGTTTCTTACAAAATTAGACATGCTACCTATGATCCAGCCATTTCCCACCTAGGTGTTTACCTATAAGTGGAAACATATATCCATAAAAGATGCATGTTCGGAGCCAGGTATGGTAGTGCACACCTGTCACCCCAGCACTCAGCAAGGTTGGGGCAGGAAGATCAGAAGTTTGCACCCAGTCTGGGCAATTTGATAACTTCACAAGATTCTGTCTCAAAATTAACAATATAAAAAAGGTCCGGGAATGTAGTTCAATTCAAAGGTCCTGAGTTAAGTTCCCAATATAACCAAAAAAGTTCATAGCCCCCTTAAAAACTGTAAACAATTCAGATGTTCTTCACTGATGAAATAGTTAAACACATTGTAACATATCCATACAATTGAGTAAAGACTAATGAATTATTGATATGAATGAATTTCCAAAGTAATTACACAAAAGAGTAGCTACTGTCTACAAAACCCCAGAAATGTAAGCTCATACATAGTGACAGAAAGTAGATCAGAGGTAACCAGGGAAGAGAGTATAGGGTTTAGGAAATAGGGCAAATTGTGAAAGGATGCAATAAGAAAAATATTTGAAGTGATGGACATGTTTATTATTTTGATAGCAGTAATGGTTTCATAGCTGTAAACATGTTAGAATTTACACTGTGAACATGAAATATGTGCACTTGACTTAAGCTATTTGGAAAATATCTTTGGGGAAAAGAACTTAGAGTCATATTGACTTTAACACTTTGTTGACTATAATATATGTGATTTAAACTTATGATTACTATCTTTAATTCATCTGAACTTGTTATTTGAAGTATCCCCTATGTATTTGTACAGTTCTGTTAAGTAGGACATGACTTTACCCTTAGCTGTGAATTCCCAGGGAAAGACCATACATCTACAGCTCACTCATTTGGTATCAGAGTAAGTTCTGTTTGAGAAACAGGGGTGCATTCAACAGGATGGGGTGCTGGAGGAGTCAGGAAAAGGGATGGCATCAGTTTGGGTTTTACAGGATAACCTGGATTTCTCCAGGATCCCTGTTTTTACAAGGAGTCCTCCCACTGAAACCCACTGCATGAGCCACAGTCAATATTTAGTTTGTGCATGTCCAGCCCTGGGGTGACACACAGAAGTTCCCTTTTGGTTCTTTTTTTTTTTTTTTAATTGAGTTTATTAGTACATTTTAGGTTACATTCATTATTGGGATCTTGTACCTCTACATGACAGGTCTTGGTTCTCATTTTTTCCCCTTGTCCCTGCCCTCCCTTCACCCCCTCCTCCCCTCCCCATTTACAAACACTTTATTTCCATCTTTTCATTTTCTCACGATGTTCCCTTTTGGATAACAGGTTAGCCTGGTTTGCTGCAACAAGCGTCCACTTGAAATGAGGAGGCTGGTCTCACTGGCTCATGTTCACCTACTCACAGGGTCTCATTCAATATTTAGCTTACCTGCCCATCACCAAGGCTGTATACCAGCCCATTTCTCACATGTCCAGGAAGATCTTAGGCAAGGATTTACCAGCTCCTTAGAAAACCAAGATATAGTACAGTCATGTGTTACATAATGACATTTCAGCCAATGATGATAGTCCCATAAGATTATCCATAGTTCTGGGGTGCTTAAGCCTATTCTGTGATGTATTTCTTACACAAAGACAGGAGTCGCCTAATGATGCATTTCTCAGGGCTTACTGTTGTTGAGTGACACATTTTCCTGTCTCTTAAGGGTTAGGTCCCTTGCATAACCTACATGGACCAATGTCTTTTTGATGATATTTCTCCTTTCCTCTTCAGTCCTTATCTTTCTCCTTTTACATTGATACTCCTGATGTTCCTTTTGTCCAGAAGAGTCTCCTGGGGGGCCAGGGTATGCCTCTCCTGCACGTTATCTTGTTACTGCTTGTGCTGACTCTACTAAGTTGGCTGAATCCATTACCACCAGTTCACAAACTTGGTTGCAGCTATTTCTGTGGTGTTATTTAGATAACTCTATCATGTCTTTATTCTTTGTATAATTTATTTTGGTCCCACTCCTTTTTAAAACCTAAAAATCTAACTGTATCTATTTTCCACCCAACCATCCAACTCATTCCTTTCAATTTAAAGAAACAAAAGTGACTAGCATGAAAAACTCATGCCAGAAATAGTTGTAACCATGCTGACAGCAACTAAAACCGGGAACGATTTGAGTGCACAGTGAGAGATGGTAAATGCTTCTTGAGGGTCTGCATTGTTCTAAGTGTTCTGTGAATGCTCACACACACTTTGAAGTTGTTAGGGCACTCGTTTTGCAGCATAACAAAGAAATGAAAGCTTTGAGGTGTTAGACTCTCCCCACCTTTTCCCCACAGTCAAGAAGTAACTGCTAGAAGTAGAAATTGGATGTAGGTTCATTTGTTTTTATACTTTGGCAGCAGGCTCTTCTGCCTCCCTCGCCAGGAGATAACTTATAATTAGATGATAGCTACTTCTCTACCCTTCCGTATACGCAAGCTGCACTCAGATTATAAGGTGTGATCAAAATATACAGAGAATGTGTATATTTTTAAAACTCAGTAATAAATACACATTGTCATTAATTCCCCTCAAAATTCCCACCCCCTTGCTTTGAACGTATTTGTCCCATTGTTCTTGCTGCTTTCTGAAGCAATTTACCCTTTACGTTTGTGGCAATTTCTGTCAAATGAAAATGTTACAGTGTATCCTTATCCACCTTATTCACCAGATCTGGCACTATGAAACTGCGGACTCGTCCCTAAAAACAAAATGACCGTGAAAGGTAAACCTTTTGAATCACGTCAGGACATCAGGGTAGCCTCCTCAGCAGTACAACTAAAGACTCTAATAAAAGAGGACTCCCAGAACTGCTTCAGAAAATGACAAGAACGATAGGATAAGTGTGCTCGAAGTAAGGAGGAGCATTCTGAGAGAGATCAACATCAATCTGCCTTCTACTATAATGCGTGAACTTTAAATATTCACGGTGTTTTTCAGTCACACCTTGTGTGCAAGGACAAAGAAAATGAAAGCCACCTGATCTTTGCATGTGTGTTCATTTATAGATAATAAAGGGCCACAGGAAATGAGCATTAACACACATTGCAGTGTTACCCCAAGTTTTGCTAACCACATTGCACTCAGGTTTTGTAATATGGAGAGGTTTCTTCTAGTCAGGGTCCCTAAGAGCCCCCATGAAGGTATTTATCACAATCATGTTTCTCAACACAGAGGTTCCCATGGATGAATGCACCTATACAAGTTGGATTAGTTGGCTTCTGGTGAGTATAAATTATCTTTTAATTTTTTTCAATGATTTTGGCGGGGGGGCAAGAGCCTTGCTATGTTGCCCAGGGCTAGGCCAGTCTTGAGCTGAATCCTCCCAAATAGCTGGGAATATACGCATTGGCTACCACAGCCAGCTAGAAATTACCTTTTTTAAAAAGTATATATTATTGTTTTAACTGTACCTATATTTATGTGTGATAATTCAGTACATGTCTATCGTGTATAACGATCAATCTGGGGTGATTAACATAGAAATTATACTTAGATTTATATTAAAATAATTTTTAAAAACAAATACATAGCCTATAAAATGGTAAGGGAAAGGTTAGATAACATTGGACAGAAGTTTTGAAAATCAGACCAAGCCAGAACACCTGGAACTTATGGTCTCAATAATTACAGAAAAGTGAGCTGTCTTTGGAGAAACTTAAAATATTTAAGGCTATTTCTGTGGTTCTTTTAACTTCTATTATTTCTTAGGATTTTGTTTTATTGTTTGTTTTTTCATTATTTTGGAAATCCTAGGTAATGCACAAACATATTTTTATAAGGAAGTGAAAAGCTTTAAACAGAGAAAAAAGATTGTTACAAAAGTAAAATAGAATAAGAAGCTGAAAATATGGGAGTGCAAAATGCTGACTTGTCCTTTTTGTCTCTAAGTTTGGTGTTTGCTACTCCCCTGTGTTGCGCTCTGTTTCCTCAGAAAAGGTATGTATTGCTTCTTCTTCACAATGATTCATAACTTTTAATTCTAAAAACCATCTGAAGACATAGATGTAGTTATTGCATTTTATTCATAGGGAAGTTAAGACTTAAAGATGAGTCTCTAAAAGGAAAACACAAAGGAGAAATCAGACTCACGTTTGTCAAATTTCAAAACTCTCTTTATACAGCTCTTTCTACCCCCTACTATTAAATGTATTCTTTTGTAGGAGTCAGGTTAACTCTTCTGCAAATTTGCTTCTAAAACTTTAAATATGATTCGTTATCAGCCAACCCATTGGCAAGTGCATCTACAAAACAGATATTTTAGAATTTAGTTCCACCCCACACCCCCCAGATAGTAATTATATGTACCTAGCTTAGGTAATTTATATTTGCTTCTCTTCTTCCTATTTAGTTTGTTTTGTTTTGTTTTGTTTTGTTTTTTTGGTTCCCCCCACCCAAAAGCTTTGTTGGGCCTGGGATTTAGCTCAGTGGTTCCACCACCTGCCTCACAAGGGCAAGGTCCCAAGTTCGATCCCCAATACCAAAGAAAAAAAAAAGCTGTATTACACATGTGTGTTTTATTACAAACTGCCCTTTCATTCTACTTTGATGTAAAACTGGACTGACTAGGGTTGAGTCTGCCTTGTCTAAATCTAGGTCTTCAGCTTCCTCCTAATGTTACATCAAGGAACAAGTAAGAAGCAGTTCATTGGTTTTGTTTTTGTTTTAGTGGTACTGTGTCCCCTGCCTCTGGTTACTCTTTCTTTCCTAGGCCAGCAAGTCCCAGATGTGACCTCTCATGCCCTAACCTTTCAAAGAAGGTTTTGGTAAAGTGTTGTATTGTAGAAACTCAGGGACTAGACACAGTATATTTAAATACTGAAGGTGGTACCTGAGACCAAGTAGCTTTTCAGAAATGTATTACTATTATCTTGAGATTAAAAGGATTTTTAGATTACAAAAAGAAGCATCTTACCTGGCCCTTGATCTTGCTTGAGTGCTATGAAAAAGAAACAATATATTTCTCATAACAATTATTTTTATGATTTACTTAAACTCTAGGTAAAAGAAATGAAAAGTTATCTAGTGTTGTAGGGTCAAAGCTCTCTAAAAGATCATGGCTTTACATTTAGGAAACCAGTACTCTTTTGTCTTACTCCATTTAAAAATAACACTTATTAGGGCCAGGGATTTCTCTCAGTGGTTCTGCCACCTGCTTCACAAGTGCAAGGTCCTGAGTTCGATCCCCAGTACCAAAAAATAAAAATTAAAAAAAAAAAAAACTTATTGTTCTGGCTTATGTCCATATGTTTGTTTGTTTCTTTGTTTTTTCTCTTTAACTCTTGTTTCTCAACTACATAACTAAAATTGACAATTTTTTTGGTTCATAAAACACTGTGCCCATTGACCCCAGTATGTATTTTATTTCTCTTAATGATGCAGTGAATACCCATTAATCTACTACCAATGAATAAAAATATTTCAAGTAATTATATATTTATGGGCTCCTCCCTACCTGTCTTCATACCTTCTCTGCAGATTTGATTAGAATTCTGAATATTGTTCATACATAAGTTTTCTTCTTTGGGGCTTTTTAAGACAAGGATATAATGCTATATACACTTTTCCAGCACTTGTTCTTTTATTCACATCAAAAGCTTCATTTACATTATTTCATGAAGCCATACTTCATTCATTGTTATTGCTGTGTAATAGTTCATTGTATAAATATACAGCTATCCATTCTCTTGCATGAATGAGTGATAATGAAAACATTTATTAAAATAAGCAGCAAATGTGTTGCTTTGAGAGAAATGTATAGTTTTAGATGTTTAAATGGTAGAAAGGAAAGAGTGGCTGAAAAATCAATACACTAAATGTGCAATTTGAGTTTATAAAAAGGAACAAAAGAATAAACTCCAGATAAAGAAGAAAGGAGATTAAGATGAGAAACGCATAAAACAGACTACAAAGAAAGAGAAGAGGATTAACAAAGAGTAAAGGTTTGACAAAGTCAAGATCAGCTCTTTGAAAACAGTAACAAAATAAATCTATGATAAAGTTAGGGAACAAGTAGTGTTATGAATGAAAAGGACACATAAATACAGATTTAGCAGCGATTAAAAGGTAATAACATCAACATATATATATGTGTGTGTGTGTATATATATATATATATATAATACATATATATATAAATTCCTAGAAAAATATAAGCAGAGCTGAAAAATTAGGAAGTCCAAGTTGACTTATAGCCATTAAAGAAGTTGAAGCATCACTTAAACTACTTCTTAATGCAAGAATCAGATAGTTTTGCAGGTGAATTTTGCCCAGCTGTCAAGAACCAAACTGTTGCAATTTTAAACAGACTCTCCCAGCAGATTAAAAAAGACAATATTCCTCTTCAGCCAGTAAAGTTTGAATTAACTTCAGTTCCAAAATCAATTTGTCCTTTATAATATGTTAATAGTGGGCTGGGGATTTAGCTCAGTAGTTACAGTGCCTGCCTCGCAAGCACAAGGTCCCGAGTTTGATCCCCAGTACCAAAAAAAATATTAAAGTATGTTAATAGTAGTTGTAGATACTTGTACCGCTGGTGAGGAGTATGGGGTTTTTTTGGAGTAAGAAAGAGCTGGCTTCACATCTCAGTTGCCTTTCAGGTCTCCTTTTCTGTAAAATAATCCAAATACCTGCATTTCCAAGTCCTTATAAAGATTAAAATGCAGGGCCGGGGATTTAGCTCAGCGGTTTGATGGCCTGCCTTGCAAGCACAAGGACCCGAGTTCAATCCCTGGTACC